TTTTAAGTAAATAGTAAGTTTAAATTTTTAATTTTTAAATTTAGTAATAATAGGAAGTAAAAATAATGCTATATATATATATATAGATAATACTCATTAAATACTTACTAATAGATTAAAGAATTTCGAGATCATGTTCGAAATAACTGGAGTCTTTTAGCAGATAATTATGAGATCGAAATAATGTCTAAACAGGGAAGCATTGGAAAATTATTTACGATACTTATAATAAGTAAGCTATTTAATTATTATTATATAGTAGAATTAATCATTTATATAATTACTAAATTATTGAATTCCTAATAATTAAATCTAAAAATAAGAAAGTTGTTTTTCAATAATTTTTAAAATGTTAAAAGATAAAATTACAATAAATGACAAGTTTCTTTTAAAACAAAATTGTTTTTAAATTAATTAAAAACTTTATAATTTGAAAATAGTGGATCACTCCACAATATATTTTAAATATTCTATAATAGAAAAAATAATTTTAAAATATGAAAAATAATTCTAAAATGTATTTTTTATCACATATTAAATTAAAAATATAATTTTTTTTACTCTATTGTCGTATTAATGTTAATTAGATTTAGCTAATTAGATTAGGAATTAATATAATTTTAACTTTTACTTTAAAGAATTATATAATTATTAATTATATAATTAAATTAATGATACTTTAATCATTCCAGTATTGGTTTATATCATAATTGTCTTCTTCATTTTAACACAATATATTTCAATCTTACTCGATATTGTAATACCTTTAAATGAATCTCGTCCGCGCAAATTTTTATTTCCAATAGAATACTTTATTGATCAGCAGAAATACTTTTATATTATAACAATACACATAGCTATAGGATTATCTTGTATAGCCACCAGTGGTGTAGCTACCGAATCATTCTCATTAGCAAATGCATTACATGCTTTTGGATTATTTAAAATTGCTAGGTAAACACCTTAATTCATATCAATTCTCTCTTTAAGAATAATTTTATTTACATTTAAATTACATATATTTTTATTATTTTTGATCTAGTTATATCTTTTAATTAATATTTTCTTCTCTCTTTGCAAAATTAAGTAGCGTAGCATATCTTTTATATTAATAATTAACATCTGTTTAGGACATTTTACTTGCTGTATTTATTAATTTTGATTAATTTAACTGTATTTACTAAACTTTTATTTAAATTTTTGTTTTGTTTATTTTTTATATATATTTTTAGAATATACAATATTAATATTAATAAAATCATATAATTTTAAATATTTTCAACTATTATACATATATTTAATACATTAATTATGTAATATTGTTACATATGCTAATTTAATGTCTAAATCTTTCTAGTTATCGTATGAAATACATATTAAGTGACATTAATCCACAGATGCATACAGCAAAAAAATATGCCATGTCTCGTAATAGAATAATCGCTGCAGTGGACTTCCATAGAAAAGCGATCGAGTTAGTATCTAAAATTTATTTAAATAAAACTTGCATCATGTATATGAGTAATATCGGTGAGAGAAAATGATATTTATATCGTAATTATCAACACTTATTAATCAATATAATATTCATTTTATTCAAATTACAAACTAGAATTGTTGCACATTTTAAATTATTTTATATTAAAACTTTTTATTTTAAAGAATTTATTTTAAATCTAATATAATTTGATATTGAGGAAATGAAAGGATAATAATAAAAAATACTTTATTTTATAAGATTTTCTGAATTATTAAAAACAAGTTTTGGAAAAATGTATTTGGTCTTATTTGTGGCGTGTGTGTGTTCGGCCAGCATCAATTTATTTAATGTAAGTAATACATTTAAGTAATACATTTAAAAATTTTATTTTAATATTTTTAATTATACCTGTCATTGATCCAAAAACTTTATTCTTCATAAAAAGATTAATTCTTTTAAACAATCACTGTTACTTATAGTTATCCCGAATAATAACAATGGAAAAAGAAATAGTGGAAGTTATTATATCTGTCTTATTTATATTTCTACATATTGTGTATTTAACTCTAGCTAATTATGCTGGACAAGAATTTATAAATTATGATACGGATTTCTATCGTACAATGTAAATAACATAATTACTATTATTATATATCTTTCGTAACGTTTTATATTATCTTTTTAAATCATCCAATCAATAATCCATATTACAGTAATCATGTAATAGTTGAATATTTTATAGATGTAATACGAAATGGTACAACGCCCCGTTAAAAACTCAAAAACTATTACTTTTTTTGATACAAAAAACCACGAAATGTTATAAAGTTGATGCCGGTGGTATGTTTAGCCCCTGCTTAGAAGGTTTGGCCACAGTAAGAAATTTTATTAAATTTATGTATATATCAAAATTTATTAATCACTATACAGATTAGTTACATGAAAGTATCCTTTATTTTAGGGTTTAAGTATGTCGGTTTCTTATTTTATGGTTCTTCGCTCTGCATAGTCATAATATGTTTAATTATATAATAACTAATGAAAAACTGTTTTGTTATTATTCTGGAGATATGTAGATATTAGAACAAATAATATAATTAAAAATAAAATTATATATAATAAATTAACAAACACAACTTGAACTTAAAAAAATGTTTTCTTAATTGAATTATTTTATTATTTCACTTTATTATAGTAATATCTATTAGATACATCGATTTTCTTAATGTAAGCAATAAATTTATACAATTGTATACATTGTATAATTGTATATAATTAAATAGTTACGTGTCTATAGGAAAGACAACTCGTAATGTATAATTTATAATTTATTATTTAAAAATAATTCTCTGTTTTTGATATTTTATTACTTATATTTTGATTATTAATTTCTTATCATCAGAAAATCAACAATATAAATTAATTAATCATTAACCAGATTTATTAGTGATTAATCAAATAATTAATATATAGTAATTATGACTAATAAACATTAAAGTACATTTTTGTATTTCTTTTAATATGTATTAATTTCAATGTATCTTTGATTAAAATATTACACAAATCTTTCTTCTTTTACAACATATAAAGATTGTACAAGACTAATCATATTAATACATAGGATAGGAGCATATGAAAGTTCTTGAATTGTTATATGGAAAATTATAATTACTGATTGATTATGCTTGTTTTGCGTATAATATAACAAGTTTTCATACCTATTTGATAATAGAATTTCTGTTTTTTTCTTATTATTTAAGTAATCTTATTAATGGTATATATTTTTCGTTTGAATAATAAACATTGACATAATTATATATGACGTATATTATTAGGCCTTTTAATGTTTTGTCTTTTTACATTTTTACGAATAAAAAGCAACAATTTTTAATTTGTTATAGATTTTTCAGATACTTACTGGAATGAAATATGCCAGCAAATTATTAATATCTAATATGAATGCGTATTTATTTTTTTGTTTTTGTTTATCTTACAATAGCTATACTGGACAATTATTATTTTTTATATACAATATTTTTCATATACCACAAACTGTACAGACATTCATAATAAAATGTGGGCATAAATACAAAATATTGTTATGGTAGCAATTAAGATATTAATATTTTTTAACTAAAAATATAGAAAAAATTCACTAAAAATATATTAAAAGTATATTGAATATTTTCAAAGATTTTAGAATTGTTGTTATAAAGAAATATAAATAAAAATATACAGATATACAGATAAGATATACAGATAAGATATATTTGATAAAGAAATGTCTCAAGAAAATGTTATTTTACACGTATGTTACAATTTTTATTGACATTATTATTAGACACAACAGACGCACGCTACATGTGCGCTATATATTTTTTTAAACAAAAAGAATAGAAATTAATATAATATTACACTATTAATCTTTTGATACACATAACTATCAAAGCGATTTCCGCGATGACAAATACTGACGAAAGATTTAATTGGCACCATTGGAAAAAGGCAATAAACTTCGAAAAATGTGAGTATTGACTTAACATACCTGTTAGAAATGGAGCAGATTATATAATATAATTAATAACTTTTCTTAAAATCTTTCATCTTCAAATTTCTAATATGATAGCGCACGCGCTCTCCCACCCTCCTCCCCCCGCCGCGCGCGCGCGCACGCACGCACTTTTTAATCTATATATAGTAATTCACAAATGCTAAATATATATGAAAGTATCACATTTTAGCCTAGCTGACACGTAAAGATATAAACTCACAGTGACATTTTATTTTTTATATATGCAATTGCAAAAAGATGAGAAATATAAAAAACATGCTCTGTATTCTGAACATTATGACAATTACTTTTTATTACTTATCATTATTCCGAATAAATACATAAATAAATGTAGGTTATTACCGCGTTTTGTTTCTTCCTACGCGCCTTTTTCTTTCCCTATTATTATCTTATCTCCCTTTCCCATTTGTGTAGATATAGTATTTTAAAAATTTATTATTTCTAGTTGAACTGTCTACAACAGACACGCAATACAGAAAAGTTAAGAAAAAAAATAGTTATGAAAATCACTAAAGTATGAGGAAAAAACTCTATAGGTTTATAAGCTTATAAACTACTTATGCTCAGTAATGTTTACATTATCGTCTAAAATGGAGTTCCCTGAAGAACGATATTATGGACTTAATCGTATTCTTTTATCAACGGTTGGTCTTTGGCCATATGATAATTTTAAAGTCAGATATTTCCGTTTTATATTAACATTACTAATAAATATATCATTTTTAAGTACTCAGGTATATTACTATATGCTTTACATTTGCAATACATTTACACTGATGATATTATATTCTTATATAATACTTCGTATTATGGTAATATTGTATTGATGTAAATATTTTCTTCGTGCATTGAGTGTTTTGATGATATGTCCTGTTTAATAATGTTTTCTGTTATACGTTATAAAATTAAATATTGTTTAGACATTAATATTTATTTTTTTAGTGGACAAAATTGTGCGTCTCAGAACATAATTCCGATCTTTTTTTAAAGATTCTATCTTATAATATCGTTTTTATACTATTTTTTATAAAATATATCACATTTTATGCTATTCTAAAAAATGTAAGATTAAAAATAAGTAATTAAAAATATATTATCATATATTATAAAAATACTTATTATATTTATTAGTAGATTAAAGAATTCCGGGAACGTATTCGAAATAATTGGGACACTTTGATAGATAAACACGAAATCGAAATAATATGTAAACATGGAAACATCGGGAAATTACTTACATTAGTTTTAACAAGTAAATATTAAAGGAATATTTAAACGTTAATTTTTAAACGAACTAATTATTAATTCTTGAATATGGCTACATTATTAAATAAAATATAGATTAAAAATGAGATAATTGTTTTTCACAACTTAATTGATAAAACTATTTGAAACAAGAGAATTTAAGAGGATACTGGACTTGTTTGTATTACTGATAAAACGCAGTAATTTTATTGCTCTCATTTTTTATTAACTTTATAGATCTGGAAATTCTTTTCCATAATTAAAATTTATGCATTAATATGTGTCTAGCATATGAATTTCGTATCAAGAACGAGAAAAATTTTTTAAATTTCGATCTTTTTTACCATTGGTACTTTAAAATGGCGTCCAAAGCTGTCAAGCTATCGCGCCAATATATTGCTTTATATAAAAATTTTACAACCTGTATCTATAAAACTCTACTATTACTGAACTAGAAGATTACATAAAGAGTCATTGAGTTTTTAGAATTAAGCTAGATATTTAATGTAATGCAAAAAAGTAGTACAAAAATTTGCTCATATGTGTATCATGTGTACAGAAATATATGTATGAGTGTATGTATGTATACATAAATATATCTATATGTTAGATGTGCATATATGTGAATGTTTTCGTCGGAATTCGTTCGTCAGTCTAGGATTCCCTTAAATGGATTATGCAATTAATTGCACAATGAATTTTTAATTAATTTATAAATGAAAAATTAAGTTAATTATTCGATGAAACTTTAAATATTCTACATTTGATAATCGATTATCTCGTTTCTAACAATAAGATGCAGATCGCAGATATCAATTAAATATATGTTGCATCTAATGCTAATAATTCAATTAATTTTAATAAAATAAAATAATTTTAATATAATAAGTGTTCTAACATGTATATAAACGTAGTATAATATTATATTATATAATTGACTACATTATATAAAATTATACAGATTGAATTAATGATACTTTACTCATTTCAGTATCTGTGTATATAATCATTATTTTATTTTATATTTTATCTCAATATGTTTCAATTTTACTCGATATTGTGTCACCTTTAAATGAATCTCGTCCGCGCAAATTTGTATTTCCTGTAGAATATTTTATTGATCATGACAAATATTTTTACATCATAACATTACACATAGCTATTGGACTATTGATTGCAACAACCAATGCACTAGCTACTGAATCATTTTCATTAACAAATGCATTACATGCTTTCAGCTTATTTAAAATTGCTAGGTAAATATATTTCATCTTATTTATTAAAGATTTCTTTTATTTCTTTTATTTTTTTATTTTATTCTTTCTTTTTATTAGATTTCATAATTGAAAATTTTTAAGTTAATATTTTTCTAATTAATATTTCAATCCGTACTTTTTTCCATTTTTGAAAAAATCTCTAATTTTTTTATTATAATTAAATTATTATTCACAGTTATTTATAAATTCATTTATTTGTTATTTATTTAAATTAATTAATTATTAAATTTATTATTAATTATTAATTATTAAATTGTTTATATCTGTAGAGTTTTTATTTTAGAGTTTAGTTTTATTATTTAGATATTTGTAATATAAAATTATTTAAATAAGAGAATCATAACATATAATTATATTATATTATATATATTTAATATCTGAATCATTCTAGTTATCGTATGAAATATATATTAAGCGAAATTAATTCGCAAATGTGTATAACTGAAAAGTATGCCATATCTCATAAAAGAATAGTCGCTGCAGTAGACTTTCATAGAAGAGCAATCGAGTTAGTATTATGTATATTATATATATATAGTATATATATAGTATAGTATATATATATAATTATTAAATAATTCTTACACATAAATAATACACATAAATAATATTGATGAGAATATAGAGGTGATTGTTTATATCAAATTACTAACACACATCGATTAATATAATTTATTTTTAATCGTAATCTAAATATAATTTTGTGCAATATTTGACCTACATTAATCTTAAATTAATGTTTTAAAAATTATTTTTTTATTTGATCTACTGAAAGAATAATAATGATGAATGTTTTATTCAACAAGATTTTCTGAATTATTGAAAACGAGTTTTGGACCAGCATATTTAATTTTGTTTGTGATTGGTGTATGTTCAGTAAGCATCAATTTATTTAATGTAAGTATTGTAACATTTAAAACAAAAGATTTTATTTGATTGCAGTTTTAATAATTTTAATAAATTTCTGAAAAAGAATCTTCTATTTTATATTATATTATACATGTTGTTATTTGCAGTTATTTCAAATAATAATGATAGAAAGAGATATCTTAGAAATTATTAAATCCAGTCTATTCATAGCAATACATATTTTAGCTTTAACTCTAGCTAATTATGCTGGGCAGGAATTTATAAATTGTGATATGCATTTCTATCGTACAGTGTAGGTAATATGATTACATTTTACATTTTGTATATGTATTATTTCTGAAACAATACAATTCATATTATTCTAATCATATAATATATATTCAATATTTTGCATATAACTCTAGGTGTAATACAGAATGGTATAACACTCCGTTGAAAACACAAAAATTAATGCTCTTCTTGATACAAAAAACTACAAAATGTTACAAGGTTGATGCCGGTGGTATGTTTAGTCCTTGTTTGGAAGGTCTTGCTACAGTAAGAAATCATACTAATTTAATAAGATAAATCGATTAATTAATAATATATTGATTTTTTAATTAATGGCTATATTAATTAATTACATAAAATATATTCTGTTTTAGAGTTTAAGTATGGCGCTTTCTTATTTTATGGTTCTTTGTTCTATATAATTAGCATCCAAAACTATAAAGAGCTGTTTTATTACCTTAGAAGTATATGATACAAGTTTTAATAATATAATAGTCAGTAAAATTAATTGATTAAAAATAAAATTTTAATTTTAAAAACGATTTCCTTTTTTGTTCGATTTTATTAATCGAATTGTTTTGTTATTTCTATTTATTATAATAATATGTATATCTTCTTAATGTATGTGCAAGTAATAAATGATAATTGAAATTTTTTGATTAAATATTTATATAAAAAATATTTTATATAAAATTTATATAAAATATTATATTAATTCGTAATTATAATTTATCTAAAGACTTACAATTAATTAATCACTTATTGTTATATCAATTATAATTTAATTTCTTATTACCTGATTATTAATTTTGTATTGTCTCTAGCAATATGAATCACACACAGTTAGTTAAAATATAATATTGTCCAATGTTTGAATAATAAAGAATAATAAAGAAATATGTTCTATTAAAATGACATGTTTTATTTTATATTAATAATAAAAAGTACAGTAATAATTGAAATAAAATACTTGTTTTTTTGACCAATTTTCAAGCATAATTTTTTTCATTTTCGAAATTTTTAAAATCTAAGTAAATAATTCTAGTAAATTTTTATTTGTTTCTATCCAAATTTTATCACTTATATCTAATCAAACTATCATGCTATACCGAATTAACATGCAGTTCATTATTTGTTGTGTATCCAATGACTGTTCACATAATAATAAACTTTTATCCCTACAAATTAAATTCATAGATGGTTTGAGCCGACACAAATTGAAAAGACTAAAAAATATTGCTTGAGAGTAATACATAGTTGTGTTTTCCTGTAATTTGAATAATGTGCTATTTATCTGTAATAACAACTTAGACTGGCTATAGGAGAAAATTGATTTTACTTTTCTAGCAGTTATATATAATTTAAAAATAACACCATCATATTCATTATATAAAATATATTTTATAAATATAATAATTTATAAATAATAAATATAATAATTTATAAATATAAAATATATTTTCTTGAAAACATGATATGAAGAATATAAAAAAAAAGAAATATTAGAATTCAGAACAAATGTGCAATTTGTTAAAGCATTTGGTTAAAGTATTACGAAAACTAGAGAACAGAAATATTTTTAGTGTTATTAAAAATGGACTTCGATAGTTATCATTATTATAAATTTAATCGTATTTTTCTATCCACTATTGGTCTGTGGCCACATCGTTATATTACGTTGCGACAAATTCAAGACATCATCTCTTCCTTTATTTTAATATCAGTAACATCTCTCAAGGTATGATAATTAAATTACATTAAACGCTACATATAGAATGTTACATACGTCTATTATCAAGAACTTACTGCCTTCCCTCTATTAATTTTTTTTATTTGCATCTTGAAGATGTACGTAATAATACATAAATATATTATTATACGTTACTTTTAGTTAATAAAATTATTTACAATGAAATATGATATAGATCTCGTTTTAAGAGACTTATCATCCGCCTTGCCATTCATGTTATTTACCGTAAAATACGTCACTTTTTATTTTGTTACAGAAAATGTAAGTAATAAAAATACTATTTATTAATTATTATTATTATTGATTATTATGCTATATCATAATGCCAAGAGATATGATTATTAAGAAAAAAAATAGAACAAGTTATAAAGTTATAAAATTTTATATGAGTTATTGCAATATGATGTACTAATTGAAAACATAAAAGCTTTATATTGTATCTGTTATGTTACATTTTCTTCAGAAATTATTTTCTGGAAAAAACCTATTATAGAAATCGATGTGAAAAACGATAAATAGAAGCATATGCTATTCAAAATGTTGAAATTAATTCTGGATTATGCTCAAATTTTTCGATGATTCCAAATCAATTAATTGTGAATAATTGGATTATTACAAATTATTATTCAATTCTTATTCAAAATTCTCTATTAATTGATCAATCGGATTCAGTTATCTCGATAAAATCTAAATATTGGTTACTTATACATTTTGAAAATTTATCATTTAGTAAATACATTTTAAACATGACTAAATGCAAAAATTCACAAAAGTTTCAATTTAACTTTAAATTAATACTTAACTTAATGCTTAACTTAATTAAAATATCACAAAAAAATATTTTAATTCAAAAAATTATATTAATTTTTCATTCTTTTCTATTACTAATAATAGATCAAGGAGTTAATGCAACAAATTCAGAATGATTAGAACGCCTTGAAAGATAATAACGAGCTTGAAATAATTCGTCGATACAAAAGCAGCAAAATTATATAATCTTTTATTATATAATCTCTAGCAAATAAAATATTTTAATACAGTTAACAAATATCTTTTTTACAATAACAATATTTTTGTTCAAATCTTAAACATAATTTTAATCGATTTAAATACGTATAATCGTGTATAAAAATATCACAATATTACAAAATATTTTATATTAAAAATTTAATTTTTATCGATATTCGATAATTTCAGTATTGATCTATATATGTATAATCGCAATTTTGTGCATTCAGTATGTGCCAATTTTTCTTGACATTGTAGCACCATTAAATAAATCTCGGCAAACTGACTTATTATTCCGAGTCAAATATTTTCTTGATGAGAAAAAATATTATCACACGATTCAATTTCATTTAGATGTAGGACTTATGGTTGCTGCAATGACAATCTTATCTACTGAATCATTTTGTTTAACACTTGCCATACATGCATTTGGAATGTTTAAAATATCTAGGTAAGTATTTCGTATTTTTTTAACTGCCTTAATGGACAATCTTGTTTTTAACCTTTTGTTTCCATAGTTATCGTATGGAACGTATAATCGACAAAAGTGTACCAAATACATTTACGAAAAACCATTACGCTTTTTATGAAAATATAATAGCTGCTATAAATGGCCACAGGAGAGCAATTGAGTCAGTATTGTAATATATATATTAAAATCCTATATTAATATATTATTTTTTCTAATTGAATTATTGAATTTATATAAATAAATGTACCAAAAACGAAACTTATCCTTTAAAACTTTTAGATTATAGAAAAGCTAATATAATAATAAATATTAAGCGCATTATAATTTTAGCTCTATCATTTTCAAGTATTTATTCTGTAACAGTTTAACATTAAAATAAATAAAATCTATATTATCTTTTTCTAGAATAGTTTATAGTTTATAGAGTAATTTAATGTAATTTTTCTATAGATTTAAACATTCAGATACAAACATCTTTTAATTAAAAATGTGAATATCCATACACAAATAATTTATTCTTTTTATTAAAGACAAAGAACTTTGTTTAACTTTTTATACATTATTTTATTATAACTCAGAAAGTAAGACTTTGCTTAGAATTTTATATTAATATATAATTTTTTTAAGATTTTCCGAAACTTTCAAAACCATCTTTGCGATACCCTATTTAGCATTAATACTGCTTGGAGTAACTTCGTCGAGCGTGAATTTATTTCTGGTAATTATTTTTATGTAGCATAAAACTGAAAAAACAACGGTATAAACTGAATTGACAAGCATCTTCTTTTGACAGCTCTTTCAAATAGTAATATCGACGAATGCAATGGATGATTTAAGAGATCTGTTGTAATTGTTTTTTGTCATTTCGTCTACATGTTTTCAACTAATTACGCTGGACAGAAATTTATAGATCATGATTCTGATATCTTCAGAAAGATGTAAGTAAGATAATGTGATATTAATATATATATAATATATATATATATATATATATATAAGTTAAGTAATAAGTATAAAGGTAAGTTAAATTAATATATATATATATATATATATATACTCTTGCAAATAATAACGTGATATATATTAATATTGTCATTTTATGTATCATATGCTTTATTCATTTATTATTATAATTTAAGCTTCTTAATTGAGCTTAGTTAATGAATATTATTAAATACAATTAATAATATTACGTATTCTGTAATAGAAAGACAATATTTTTCATTGGATTATGTTATAATGTTTTTGAAAATATCAGATTATTGAAATGCACAATATATGTGTTGCATATTTATATTTTTGCTTACCGAATATAGTCTTTGTAATTTTCTTCCATATTCAACAGGTGTCATTGCTTTGAAATAAATTGTGATTTTCCTCCCTTAGTTTTATTATTCAAATATTCCTATATTTTTTATATAATTCAAGCATCAAAAACAAGATGTTTATCGTTATTTTATAATTTTGTATGCGACGATGTTATTGGTTTTATTGTACATTATTCATATCTGAAATAAAAATACATTCTGTAATTTTAAAATAATTGAAACATTATGCTATTTTATTTTATTTTTTATTATAATACTACTTTATTAGTAAATTATTATATTATTATTTAGAATTTATATATTTATTATCTTTTCTTTTTGAAGTAAATCAATTTAATGAAAATGTTTCTCAATTATTCAAAAAAATTTTCTATTAATATACAATCCAGTTAACATTTATTATTTGAAAAATTATAATTTCATAATCATTAATTGTTGGTAAATTTTAATTATTATTAAAACTTTTATTTCTAAATAGTTCTAAAATACAAAATACATAAGTTAGACACATAATATCACATTGTGTTTTATTTTATATATCTTATTAACATAATGTTCATTACATGTACATAGAGACTCTATAAGAGAAATAACAAAAATAATGAACATTAATGCTACTTAATTATATATTATAACTCAGTCATTATTATAATAGAGTATAATAGAACAAAATCAAGTACAATCATTTTTTCGAGAAATGTATATACACTTCTTCTCTTTATTCCAAATTATTTTGAATTTTGTATTTTCCTTATGCGGAGATATAAGCATATTATATATGTTTAAACTTAATTTATAGCTTTTATCTTTAGTTAGTATTTGTACGACAGCAAAGTTTTCTAACAGTGGTAAGTTAATAATATCGCATTGGAAGAAATTATTAAGTAAATGGTCGTGGGATAAGAGACGCTTCTATAGACAAGCGATGTTTAGTAATATTTTAACTGTTACCTAAG